TCAAATTACAGTTACTCGAATCTCGGAGTAGACGATGACAATGGTCAACATGCAGTTGCTTTTCTTGGTGAATCTCTGATTTCAGTCAATACGGAGTACACAAACTCTGCTCCATCTTGGAGTTACAGAGCCACTCTGCCGGATGAAGATGTTCGGTGATGTGACCCAGGGTTTAATGTGATGAATTAAACGTGTGTATGCTGCTGTACTAGACTGGTGCCAGTTTTAACCTTCTAACTCTACATCATTAAAACATCAATACAAGTACCAGGCAGGGCAACAATAAGTACCATGCTCCATCCAGCACAAGGAACACAGCAGTCACGGAGTCCAATAGCGAGTGAGTGAGTTTAGTTTTATGCCGCACTCAGCAATATTCCAGCTATATGGCGGCGGTCTGTAAACAATTGAGTCTGGATCAGACAATCCAGTGATCATGAGCATCGATCTGCGCAATTGGGAACCGATGACATGTGTCAACCAAGTCAGCGAGCCTGACCACCCGATCCCGTTAGTCGCCTCTTACGCCAAGCATAGTCGCCTCTAGTGGCAAGCATGCATGGGTTGCTGAAGACCTATTCTACCCCGGATCTTCACGGGTCCGGAGTCTAATAGAATTTCTTCCCTTCTCATAAAAACATCTTACAAAGTCCATGCATAAATACACTCCACAAAAATGAGTGAGTGAGTTTAGTTTTACGCCGCTTTAAGCAATATTCCAGCAATATCACTACGGGGGACACCAGAAATGGGCTTCATACAGTGTACTCATGTGGGGAATCAAACCCAGGTCTTCGGCGTGACGAGCGAACGCTTTAACCACTAGGCTACCCCACCGCCCCCCACAAAAATGAAAGCTCCACAAACAGAATGACATGTATGTTATCATCTCTGTCTAAAGTAGAGTGGTATATACAAGTCTGTCAAAGAGGACTTTGTTCTCACAAACAGTATCTATAGTGGTAAAGGCTATACACAAAAGGATTTGATTGATTGTTGTAAAAAGATCACCGATAATAATTTTACATTTTTGGTGATGTAACTTTCTATTTTCACAACTGACCATGGAGTGAGCAGTTTGAAAATGTAAATAACTAAATACACTGTTAGGGCATTGGTTATTAAAGTCATCAATGAGATCTAGAATAGCAAATGTTCATGACTAAAGTTTCCTTCAAACACGATTGTGTTGATCACAAGCGACATCAGTATGGGTGAGCTATATATTTGCCTTTTTGGCATGTGTTCATTTACATTTTGCCATCAGTATTGCATGTCAAGAAAACCAGTTTAATCATATGCTCTTATATTTCATGACCCTAAAACAGTTGATGTCAATACTTTTGAGCTATTTGATGTGTCAAGATCTCTTTTTGCCATTATTACAGTGACGGGTCAAGTTCAACTAGCGGTCAACAAAACAGACAACGTTAATTTCCGTCAAAAAATTCCAATTTCCCACAATACCGTAATATCTCATCGTGAATGTTCAGACATGTTAAATATTTCATGTGGATTTAGTAGAAAAATCAGATTCATCATTCCACTTTCATTAACCCTGCCAATGGCGTCCGACAGAGGTGAAACATAAATAACGCTGTCAACAATGGCTGCCCAGATATCCATGGCAATAGTCGAGAAATTGCACACAAAGGCACAACAAATTCATTGAGCATTTCCGTAGGTACCCTGATTGGATGTCATCGTAAATTGTACTCCCATCACCATGGTGACCGGCTTCTGATCTTATGGATCTCTGCGTTAGAGAGTTCGCAGGAAAAGGTATGTCCTACCTGGTATAAGATTTATTGCAGCAAAGGCTCCTGCAATGACCTTGATCAACAGCTAGCCAATAGGTGACCGTGTCTGGTGATTTATCTCGGACTCAATTTCGCATGTTTCAATCAAAGAATGGATTTATTTTACATGTTTCATCAAGAGAATGGCTCAATTTCTCATGTATTCATTGTGAGAATTGTTTAATTTCACGTAGATCAAAGACAAGGACATGTCAGCTGGGGTATAACTGCCGTATCTGATGTGACATCCCGTCAGTGTCAGACAGGTCTCCTGTTGTTTGTCTTGCTTGCTTTCACTGACGGCACCAGCAGGGTTTGAGTGAAAATAATTACCACAATAATAAAAATTCATAAAAAAATAAAATAATACATTTTCAAAGGTAAAAAGAATGGTGTTTTATTTCAATAAATCAACAATCAGGACCATTTTAAGTTACTGAGAAAACACATCAATTGTAAAGTTGAAACCATTTGTTGTTAAATAACTGACACTATAAGAATTCAAGCTTTCACATTGGTTGAAAGGGAAAAAATGAGATACAAATAATCGATATGTATTCTGTTGATTTTATTTGAAGAAAAACCATAGAAAAAACGTTTACATAGAAATGCAAAGAAAATTGTCCACAATAAAATGAAAATAATTTTCAGTCAAGCAAATCATTACATAACTTTAATAACATAGGGAAGGCATAAAGTTATGCACGTTATGGGCTTAATAATGCAAACGAAACAAAATTGTATTTTCTACCAAATTCAGACAAATTTGTTGTCCAAAAGAAATCATTATGTTTGAAAAACATTGCTCATAAAACACGAGCTAATGAGGTTAACATAATATTACCCCCAAAATGTTAAGGACCTGATACCATAGTTAATCTGTTGATGTGTATCAGTAACAGTAATCTGCTAAGGTGTGATGATATAGTTAATGCTTCACGGTGTGATAATATAGTTAGTCTGTTAAGGGATAATATAGTTAATCTGCTAAGGTGTGATGATATAGTTAATGCTTCACGGTGTGATAATATAGTTAATCTGCTGATGTGTGATTATAGTTAATGCTTCACAGTGTGATAATATAGTTAGTCTGTTAAGGGTAATAATATAGTTAATCTGTTGAGGTGTGATAATATAGTTAATGCTTCACAGTGTGATAATATAGTAACTCTGTTAAGGTGTGATAATAAAGTCTGTTAAGGTGTGATAATATAGTTTGTCTGTTAAGGTGCGATAATATAGTTAGTCTGTTAAGGTGTGATAATATAGTTAGTCTGTTAAGGTTTGATAATAAAGTTAATATGTTGAGGTGTGATAATGCAGTTAATATGTTGAGGTGTGGTAAGATATACTTAATCTATAAGGGTGTCATAATATAGTTAGTCTGTTTCTGGTGTGATAATATGGTTAATCCCTCAAGGTGTGATAATGAAGTTTATTTGTTGAAGTTGGATAATATAGTTAATCTGTTACGGTGTGATAATATAGTTAATCTGTTAAGATGTGTGATTATAGTTAATGCTTCACAGTGTGATAATATAGTTAGTCTGTTAAGGGTAATAATATAGTTAATCTGTTGAGGTGTGATGATAGTTCATACTTCACAGTGTGATAATATAGTTAATCTGTTAAAGTGTGATAATATAGTTAGTCTGTTAAGGTGTGATAATATAGTTAGTCTGTTAAGGTGTGATCATAGAGTTAATCTGTTGAGGTGTGATAAGATATACTTAATCTATTAGGGTGTAATAATATAGTTTATCTCTTAAGGTGTGATAATATAGTTTTTCTGTTAAGGTGTCATAATATAGTTAATCTGTTGAGGTGTGATTGTTAATCTGTTAAGACGTGATAATATAGTTAATGCTTCACGGTGTGATACTAGAGTTAGTCTGTTAAGGTGTGATAATATAGTTAGACTGTTGAGGTCTGTTAATGCTTCACGGTGTGATACTAGAGTTAGTCTGTTAAGGTGTGATAATATAGTTAGACTGTTAAGGTGTTATAATACAGTTAATCTGTTGAGATGTGATCATAGAGTTAATCTGTTGAGGTGTGATAATGCAGTTAATATGCTGAGGTGTGATAATATGGTTAATCCCTTAAAGTGTGATAATACGGTTCATTTGTTCAAGTGTGATAATATAGTTTATCTGTTAAGGTGTGATTGTTTAGTTAATTTGTTAAGGTGTGATAATATAGTTTATCTGTTGAGGTGTGATAATATAGTTAATCTGTTTGGGTGTGATAAAATATATTTAATCTATAAGGGTGCTATGTGGAATAATATAGGTAGTCTGTTAAGGTGTGATAATATGGTTAATCCCTCAAGGTGTGATAATATATACTGAGTCAAAAAAGAAACTTCACATTCTTTCTTCAGGGCACTATAAAAGAACAAGAGATGGTAAGATGGTTAAATTGTTATTATTTCATTGCTGAGATCTGTGTGATGTACTCGATACACTGACAGTGCCATAATCAGTTCCATTAGGCTACACCGCCGTTCCAAAACATGGGTATACAGAATGTCAAGTCACAAGAATAAAAATGCGAAATTTCTAAGTTCAATATCGTGTATGGCCACCCCGCGCATTCACCACTGCCAAACACCGTCTCCTCATCGACTGCGTGATGCTTGTGAACACGTGGTTGGGGATTCTGCGCCATTGCTCTTGCAAGGCAGCGCCAAGTTCCTGCAAATTCTGAGGTTGGTTCCTAAGACCACGAAGCCTTCTCCCAAGTGCATCCCAAACGTGCTCTATTGGATTAAGGTCAGGGGACCTCGATGGCCAGTCCATGACGTTGATTCCAGCGTTTTGAAGGAAATTTCGTATCAACATCGCGGTATGCGGCCGAGCATTATCATGCTGGAACTGTAGACCTGGGCCATGAGCCGCCATGAAAGGAACGAGTTCAGAGGTGAGCACCTGGTCGCGGTAAGCAGCAGCTGTGAGGTTTCCACGGATGACCAGAAGTCAGGAACGGTTGCTTAAAACTGCATACATATCTAATAAAAATGTATTAATGTATTATTTATTTCCAACTAATTGAAAATCGGATATAACGTTGGTATTGTAATTGTAACAACGTTTGTGTGTCTTTACAGATGGATTTCGAGACTGCCGGTAGAAACGCTGCCATGAGAGTCTTCCATGATGTCAGGTGGAAGGGTTGTTTCTTCCAATTTACACAGTGTGTGTGGAGGAAGACCCAGCAGGTTGGCCTTCAGGTGGACTACGGCAACGACATGGATGTCAAAAGATTTGTTCGGCGATGCTCTGTGCTGCCCCTTGTTCCCATAAATGATGTAAGTATAACGTTTTCACAAAATTCCTTTAGAAATTACCAATCAGAGATACGCTTCTTTCAGATTAGATTTTATTTATGAATGTTATGTTTTATCTTATTTTACACAATTTCGTTATTATTTTGAGGTGGAGACGTGTGGCTGGACACCATTGCAACGATGCCTGACGACAGACGCTGCACGCAGTTGGCAGACTACGTCACCTCAACATGGATTGAGGGCGACTTCTCCCAAGCTAGCTGGAACCACCTCACCCCTGACGACCCCCGCACCAACAACACACTGGAAGGATGGCACAACAGGGTGAAGAAGTTGGTGTGCAAGGCCCACCCCAACATTTATGAACTGATCCAGTTCTTAAAAATGGAGCAGACAACAACGGAGACCAGGTACCTGCAGTACGATGCGGGCCAAAGGAGGTCTCCCAAGAGGTGGAAGTACAGAGATTTGGACAACAGACTGGACCAGCTGAAAATGAGACTCCAGGACAACTTCGCCGTTTTGGAGTATGCCGATGCAGCAGCACACCTGCTTAGTTTGTAAATTAGTGCTGTTGATGATGTATGTAACATCGATGTACATGTGAAAATAAAACAGTTTTGCCATTCCCCCTAGTTCCAAGTGTCTGTCGGTCCTAATCCGGATTAGTAAATTTAGTCTGACCATTATGTCCCGTAATTGCAATAATTGGCTATTTAGCGAAATTCGCTCGAAGTCACCCTGTAGGGATTAGCGTTTTAAGCTGGTGACCTCATGAGAATAAACCTCGGATACATAGATGTATCATCAGAGAAAAATTATTCATTATTTTTCAAATTACATTTTGTGAAGTTTCTTTATTGACTCAGTATAGTTAGTCTGTTAATGTGTTATAATATAGTTAATCTGTTGAGGTGTGATAATATAGTTAATCTGTTAGGGTGTGATCAAATATAGTTAATCTATTTGGGTGTAATAATATAATTAATCCCTCAAGGTGTGATAACAGAGTTAGTCTGTTAAGGTGTGATAATATAATTAATCTGTTGAGGTGTGATAATATGGTTAATCCCTCAGGGTGTGATCATATAGTTTATTTGTAAAGGTTTTATAATATAGTTAATCTGTTAAGGTGTGATCATGTAGTTCATCTGTTGAGGTGTGATAAGATATAGTTAATCTATTAGGGTGTGATAATATAGTTTATCTCTTAAGGTGTGCAAATACACTTAATCTGTTGAGGTGTGATATTATGGATAATCCCTCAGGGTGTGATAACATAGTTTATCTGCTGAGGTGTGATGATATAATTAATCTGTGAAGGTGCGATAATATAGCTTATCTGTTAAGGTGTGATAATATAGTTAATCTGCACGCACGTAGCACCCAGCCACACACACACACACACACACACACGCACACAAAACATTTGTATAGCGCCAATATCCAGTACAACTGCTCAAAGGCTTTGTGTTTTCCCTCGATCATTGGATGTCCATCACCACGGCACGTCGCATTTTCAATCTCAACTCACTGGGGATCATACAACTTCAATTTGTTGACTTATGTTGATGGTGGGTGTGTTGGCTTGTTGGTATTGTTAGATCTCTCGGTGGCATTTCATACCATCGATCATGAACTGGCTCATGACTGAACTGGAAGTGTGCACCGACAGCATCAAGTCCTGGATGACTATGTACAAGTGTGAAACTAAATGATAGCAAACGGAGGCTCTTCTTGCAGGAACTCTGCCTAAACGGTTGGCTGCTGATGTGAAGACTGTTCGAGGAGGAGACTCTGAGATTACAGTTTGGGAATGTGTCAAGAATCTTGGTGTGGTTTTTGACAACAGTCTATCAATGGATGATCACATATCTAAAATCTGTCACTCTTGCTATTTTCATCTAAGGAATATTGGTTCCATTACGAATCTTCTCTCTACTGATATGGAGAGCTAGCAAGAACACTTGTATTGACAAGACGTTATTCTGCAAATATCTTGTTGGGAAATCTAACCCAGGAACAGTTTGCGAAACTCCAACGGGTCCAAAACACTGCAGCATGGATCGTGACCCGAACGAGGAAGTGTGCACATATAACACCAGTGCTAACTTCCCTACACTGGCTCCCAGTCCAAGCTCGAGTCCAATGCAAGATTCTCACCTTGACATATAAATGTGTCAATCAATCAGCTCCTGCCTATCTGACAGAATTGATTGAGAAATATGGATCTTCTCGGACACAAAGATCTGCTGATCAGTTACTTCTCAAAGTACCCAAATCCCGCCTCAAAAAGTATGGACAGAGATCATTTGCTCACATGGCCCCTACTCTGTGGAACGATTTTCCCTTGGGAATAAAGAAATCCCAATCATTAAAAGCTGCCTAGGCCAAAGTTTCCCCGAGGAAGGTTTGGCCAGGGGGGAAGTTTTTCCTGTTACACCGGTATTGCTTGAGGAATAAACTCCTCTGTTCAAAGAGGAAGTCATCGGCAACAGACACATATGACGTCATGTCACATGATACCTTCTGTTCATTAACTGTCGGTTGTTTTCATAATAGACGGAAATACAAGTGCATTTCTTACGTGTTAATTGGGTTTATTGTCCTTTGCAAACTTTACATTCAATTTTTATCAGGGAAGGTGACTTTCAGAATGATTTACCGTTATGAAAAAATAAAGAGGAGTTAGTATTCTCCTGTAAACACAACCTGTGTCATTCCTTAGCGCCCCCGGTTACAGTACATTTAGACATTTAGAACACTGTTGACTTGTTAGTGGAGCAGAAAACACCAGGGGGAGAGAGTAGGAATAATTTTACGACCCAGTGACAGCGCCCTCTTGTGTGTTAGTTCTTCTCACAGATGTACTTCCTATGTTTATAGCACTGCATATCGCTTACTCCATCGCTGTCAATTTCACCACATTCTTGGTTATCATGGATGTCCGGTTCACGGTAACCCCATGCGATGTCTGTCGAGTTGTTGAGCCACCTGTACGTTATCTTCCCGTCATGTTCCTCTTTCACCAACCCGATCCATGTAGAATAATCTAGGGGGGACACAAATATCATTAGTATATTTCAGTGTTCGTGAGGTGAAGTAAAACGGGAGAATGTCGTGTTCACAACTGTTGTACTTATGTAGACACGTGAATGTGTGTGTGAGAGATGGATGGTACAAGTTGGCACCAATGATAGCCTTTTAGCGGCCATACAGCTGCCATGCAATGTCGCACTTCAAGAAGTATACTCCACTTAGACTCAGTAGGTGACTTCAAACGTCTCTGGCCACTTCCTTGATTGAGACGTCTGGCAGGGTACAAGTGGCATCTTTTACCGTCTTTTGGTAGGACGGGACCGGAAATCGAACCAACCGACCTTCTGCTCTACGAACAACTATCATGGCAACTATGTCACATGACCCTGCTCATGCTATTAACAATTGGTCTGTCTGGTCCAGAATGAATCAATGCAGAATATTGCTATAAGCGGCTACTCCAACATACATTCTGAGTTGGAAAGTATCGGTCTTCAGGAATCCACGATTGTTGTAAGAGGCAAGTAAAGGGATCGGGTGGACAGTTAGCTGAATTGGTTGATGCACATCATGCGCAGATCGAGACTCAAAACGTCATTCATGGGTTTGTCTGGTCCAGACTCAATGGGTTACAGACTGCCGTCATATTGCCAGAAAGGCAGTATGAACAACAAACAATCCACGGGTTTGTAATAACGTATGCTTACCTATTCCGCGATTGAGTTCCTTCACATGCTGAAATAGAAAATCAACCTTTTCCTGAGTGTCTGCAATAATGAGTTCCGCCCCGTCAGCATGACAACGTCCTCTTGCCTTTTTCCACATAATTTTATACATGAAGTCTTTCCAGCACAAAGGAATCCCCGACCTTGTTCTGTGCAGCTTATATCCTTCGTCTTCTGGACAAGGCACTGTGGAGAAAAAGACATATGGTGGTGTGTCTGATGATGGGTATCTGCTTGCCGAGAGATCGAGTTTTACCTGTTACTCATTTCATTCCTGCAGTTTGTGAACTGTAACTTACGGCCAGGTTATTTTGCATAAGAGTGATGTGGTCCAATGAACATCGTAATGTTGTGCCGGGAATAACAATTTCTTATTGGTCAAGATATGATTTCTAAGCTATCTAGTAACTAATGTTTTTGTATAATCATTTGTAAAAGCTTGATATTCAACACTACTTTTCAACATGCACATCATATTTCAATGGTGACTAGGCGCCGATACAGGTCACGTTTTTACAAAAATACAACCCTGATAACTAAAATATACTTCTGGAATAAAGCAACTGTGCATTATTTGATGTTTAACTGTGCATTATTTGACATTTAACTGTGCATTATTTGATGTTTAACTGTGCATTATTTGACGTTTAACTGTGCATTATTTGACGTTTAACTGTGCATTATTTGATGTTTAACTGTGCATTATTTGATGTTTAACTGTGCATTATTTGATGTTTAACTGAGCATTATTTGATGTTTAACTGTGCATTATTTGATGTTATGCCATTTTTAATGCAAAATGATAACAACATGATTTGTGGTGTTTTCCTTAATCACTGTTTAACTGTTGACAGGATAATATGAAAATCTGTATGATGTGACACTAGGTATCGTTACACACACTTGAAAAGATGTTGAATCAAAAAGTCAGTTCACAAATTTGTGTGTGTCCACCATTGGCGTTGATGCAGACTTGACAACTTATAGATGACTCTAAGAGATTGATGGAAGCTTGGGGAATGTTATTCTATGTCTGAACCAATGCTTGATCCAATTCAGCCAGCGTAGGCACAGTTTAGGTTCAGATGTTAGTTTGAGATTAATGTGTATTCCACAACATTCAGAGGCTAGAGAATAAACACCAGTTCTTCAAGCTTTCACTATCGCTGAAAGGGTCGTTGTCGGCACGGTTACTACAGATGTGTACCCCAGGTACGTTGGGGTACATATCTGTAGTACCTGTGCCGACAATGACCCCGTCAGCTTCACTATCAGGTGTGTGAACTTCAGGTGTCAAAAAGCATGCACAAAGTGAGTAAGTTCATTGTGAACAAAGTGCACATGCCCTGTGTGATACGAGACATCAAGTTTCATGCAGAGTGCTTTGCTACATGTGTATGTAAGGTTACTTTTATAACTTTTCAACTCACTAATATTTTATGCAATTTTATGTAATGCACAGTAACTTTTTTCCATTCATATAAAATTCAGTTTCAATAACTAATTGAGACGTAGAGCTTCTTCTGATCCTCAACTTTTAAAGATGGTTTCATTTCAAAATCTACTTAATTGCACATTGCTGTCTACAGACAATAATAATGATTGATTGATTGCGTATAATTTTACACCCGCTTTTAGCAATATTTCAGCAATATCACGGCAGGGGAAACCAGAAATGGGCTTCACACATTGTGCGTGACAAGCAAACGCTTTAACCACTAGGCTACCCCACCGCCCATCGATAATAATGAAAAGATATTTAATTCAAATCATTCAGGAATTCAAAAACTGAAAATACACTTACTGTGAACACTGTGTTTTCTTCTTTCAGTGACGCCATGAGCACGGACTCGGCCAAGAAACCCTGAACACACCCTGGTAAAGAAGGTGTTCTGGAAGCTGTTACAATGGTCATCTTGACCACACAGCACGCCCCACTGAATAACCCCCTTGCCATGGTACACACGCCAAAGTCCAGATTCCGGGGGACGTTGGGAGGTGACCTTTCTCCACGATCCCTGAGTAATCAACTCCGCCAATAGTGAGGACATAAGGAGGAATGGCAGGATGAAATGGACAGCCTTACTTGTCATGTCTGCACCAAGTAGATAAATGGAGTCTGAAATATAGATGTTACTATATTCTAAACGGCCTTCATTCTATTTTGGTCTCAGATATGAACCTGCATCAAACATGTGAAGAAAAGAGAAAACACAATCAAATGAATTGTTTGTACTGTTTGGGCTATATCATATATGTTTTTTTGAATCACTAACAGTGCTGATACAAGGTGTTCAAGAAAGGTGACCTTATCTGTCTCAACCCCTCCGAACCCCACCCTGACACCCGTTAAACACCCATCATTGGTTCTCCTGAGTTCCATTATAAACTGATTGGCATTTATCTATGCAGCGTCAGCTTAGAAAGAAATGATTGGTCCGAGACATTCAAACTTAACCCAGCTGTGTAGCAAAAAAATCTATTTCATAAATGTTTTCCTTTCCCTGTAAGCAGCGAGCTGTCTGAAGCTGTACTCAGTTGTCGTAATTAGAGCACAATTTAATGAAAGTCAATGCTCGTCAGCAAATCAGATATCAGCTTTCTTCAATTATCCGAATTTATTCTTCAATCCCTCAATTCTGAAAATGTTATTACACCAATGAACTTCCACTCAAAACACATATATTCCTTCACTGGTATAGATAGCCTTTAGGTGCGGTTGCCATGATACTACTTGGATAATGCACAAGGATGGCTTAAATAGATTTGAGCTTGACTACAAAGAATTTTTACGGCACATCCTTGATCCTTTCCTTGAGTAGTACAATACCTCCCTGCTTACAGGTTGCTAAAATATAACTGGGGGCATCTGGTTCACCAGGTGTGAAGATCATTCACTCATTCATTAGACTTGATCTTCAGTAACCCATGCTTGTTGTAAGCGGCAACTAATGGGACTCACTGACTTGGTTGACACGTCATCTCAATTATGTAGATTAATGCTCATGCTGTTGATCACTGGTTTGTCTGGTCCAGACTCGATGATTAACAGACCACTGCCATATAGCTTGAATATTGCCAAGTGCCTAAATCCTTCTGCCATCCACATGAACCATGGAGGCTGAAACTCATCCCTACAGAATATGACAAGAAAAACAATCAGGTTTTCATTTAATGTGCATACCCCCTTGTAATACAAACCAATAAAATAGCGATTTGAAACTATCATCTTTTGTTAAACAACTTTTATAATAAGTTTCACTGCAAACAAACTATTAACCATCTACAACAACAACCAAAATGTGTCATTTACAAAATAACTGTGATTGGACAAAGCTTCATAGGGGATTCATCCTGGCCTATCAGCAACCAAGTGCATGACATCAGTCTTCAGTTACTAATTCCAACAGCAAATCTGCCATCCCGGATCACATCAAAACAGGTGAAATTTACACCTAAAATGGTGTTGATGAAAATACTAACTATTGAAATAATAAATGTAACATTAGCATCGAACTCGTCCCTAGTTGAACCCTAGCATTCACAAGGAGGAGGTTGCTCTCTTGCTCAAGACCCCAGAAACTTTCCTCCGACACCATTAAGTACAATTTCGATAAAATACATGAAATGAAGTATGGACGACGACTTACAACACGTCAAGGTGCTGGCTTGGCTGTCTATGGTTCCAAATATCCTGCTCAAAATGTCTGATGCAAAAGAGTCAACACCGTCAAATTTTTGCCTCTTCCCAAACTTGAAGAAATAACCGTCTGTCTTCTTCGCCAGTGGTCCCAGACACTCAGGTTGGCTGGTGAAGGATTCCGTATGAAAGGTCACCGATGCAGTCAGCTACCCTTGTTCATCAAGTTGTAATGAATCCCTGGGAATCGACCATGCAGTGGTGAACTCCTTCTCAGATGACGTAGAAGACACCTGATTGTGTTTTTATGTTTGCCGTATCATGGAAGCTTGCTACACATTGCGTATTATCTACATTAAAGTATGTATATAGTGTGTGTTACTGAATAATATATTAAGGTCATTAATACATTTGGGTAACCTTGCTTGAAAGTTCAGCTGTGAATAATGGAACCACTTTATCAGAACTGAAGACAATTTGTTCATGGCGCGCTATAGGAAATGATAAGAAGCAGGAATGCAGATTAGAAATCAATAGTTGTGCATAAAAAACTGAATCAGTGAATAATAATGGAGGTACTGACTTGAGACAAACGCGGCCAACTATAATTTAGAAGTGAGTGAGTCAAGGCCACAAGTGAAATCTTTTGGTCACTTAGATTAACGGTGTCCAAACTCAGAGCTGCATATCTAATTATTCTGATGGATATGTTACAAATTATTCATCCCTCTGTAAACAACGGACTAATTACAGCCTCCCCAAGTCGGCAAACTCACACCCTCCCTGTCAGAAGTGTAAATACATGTCTATCAGACTGGTATCAATACAGTATTAGTTAAATGGAAGGAGATTCATGTGTATTTAATAGTGATTACTTCAAAATAGGCTGTGTTATTCCATCAAACAATGGGAAGGACTTAAAGAAGTGTTTGATATAAACAGTGTGATTGTAAACTTAAGAGAATATTCCAGCAAGCTGTGGGTGAGTGAGTGAGTGTGTGCATGTGTGAGGGGGTATGTGCATGGACATGCGTATGAGTCAGTGAATTTCTGTGTCTAACCTAACATTCCTTTCTAAAGTGCTTGAATATTGCCAAGTGCCTAACTCTTTCTGCCATCCACATGAACCATGGAGGCTGAAACTCATCCCTACAGAATATGACAAGAAAAACAATCAGGTTTTCATTTAATGTGCATACCCCCTTGTAATACAAACCAATAAAATAGCGATTTGAAACTATCATCTTTTGTTAAACAACTTTTATAATAAGTTTCACTGCAAACAAACTATTAACCATCTACAACAACAACCAAAATGTGTCATTTACAAAATAACTGTGATTGGACAAAGCTTCATAGGGGATTCATCCTGGCCTATCAACAACCAAGTGCATGACATCAGTCTTCAGTTACCAATTCCAACAGCAAATCTGCCATCCCGGATCACATCAAAACAGGTGAAATTTACACCTAAAATGGTGTTGATGAAAGTGCTAACTATTGAAATAATAAACGTAACATTATCATAGAACTCGTCCCTAGTTGAACTGCGAAGTTAGAGAAAACAACCTACGTTGAAAGCTGAAGATCATGAACAATCACAAGTATTGTTTGTAATTATAAGTAAACTTAATTCTGGGTTGTGGTAGCCATTTTCTCATCCACTCCGTGATGTATTACAGACTATTCCCAGTAAATTAAATTAAGAGGTGGTAACTACCTTGGTAATGATCCAATGCCTATCAGCAGTTACGTCCCTTAAGCAGCCTTTTCACACGGCAAACTACAGTTTGACAATACATATATTGTTGAAATTGTAAAAGTTGTCAAACTCACGTTTTCACATGTCAAACAGATGTTGTCATTTGAGCGCCATGACTCTATCGGTGCAGTCACGTGAAAATTTTGTTGACTATGATTGGTTGTTTCTGAACAACACGAGTTTGACAACACTTTGTATGAGACAAAATCCAATTCTATCTCCAAGTCCGGGCTGTTCCAATCGTAAGGAATAGAATCTGTTTCTAGAGGGGAGTCAGAACCTCCTAGCCCTTAAGGGGCGAAAAGACCTAGCCCCCCTACCTCTACCTCTAGAACTTGCAAAAGAGCCCCTGCTTGAGGAGGCCGATGTACGTGGTCTAGCGTCCATGACTCTATCAAACACTGAATGTTGTAATGGTGCCTGTTGAGTTAGGGATTGAGGGCGAGACCCAGATGAAGGTTGCATGCCATCTCTTCTACCCCTAGGTGCACTTCTGAACCTATTCTGCGACAAGAGGGCCGAAGCTAAACGCTGATTAAGATTCCTCGTAGTAATAGCATCCTTTGCTTCACCTGCTTGTTGACACTGCCCGTTGAAGGTAGCCTCTGAGTTCAAAGGTTGCTGAAACATCAGCTCCTTAGTGGATTCCGGTAAATTCCTAACTGAGTTCAACTTGTGTGTCCTATCCATAGCCGTAGTCTGCCCAAGGAATAGACTTGATTCTGAGTAGCATCCGACACAGCGTGATATAAGACATCCAGGTAAGAATGAGCCATGGCTACTTCATGCACCGACATAGCCACGAGAGTATCCTTCTTAATGTCCGTATAGTAACGCCCTTACACCCGCCGCAAACCAATTAACCAAAGAGAGGATATCTATGGTTGAACACATACTGCCTAATTGTTGATATGTTCAGGAACCTATATAAATGGTAAAATCATTCATTTTAAGTTTTGTCTAAAGAGTGCTAAATTCTGACACAGAAGCTGAGACCTTTTATACAATTAATGGAAATTAGGTGAGATATATACCAATCAGCATGCCAATGTCGTCTTTTCCGACGTAGCAAAATGCATAAACAAGCAATGACATCAAATACAATGATTACACAATGCCATTTAGAAAGTGGTAAAATGTAACATATGTCATATTTGGGATTACACTTTCTTAGTTAAGTACAAATACTAGTATTTTTTTTAGTTGAGCCCCATCCAGGATTCGAACTCACACCCTCAGAGTCAGGCACCTATTCGCCAGCACACAAAGTCAGCTGCCTTACCCGCTCAGCTACCACGACTTTCACCGCGACTTTAACACCCATCAGAGGGGTACACAAAGTCTGCAGTCTAGACTACCAGTTGTCTGACTTCTATTTATTCATATACACTTCCGTCGTTCAGATATCAGGCTGTATTTTCTTTGTGCACACTTTCCGTAAAGATGCCAAATTAAAAAAAGTTGTAGCACAGTGCTTTTATCGGTGTGTGATAAAAAGCGGAGAAATTTACTGTTTTTAACGCAAAACAAAATTTTTGAAACATTTAGCAGTGTCGATTTCTCAAACTGCCAAGGTAGTTGCACTTATATTTATACCAATGGATAGGAAATTTGATATTCTACATTTCTGTGTAATTTTATAGCCGTACGTAGATCCATGACCACGTGAGCGCAATTCTCGAACAACGATCACTTTTCAAATTGTATGAAAATGTGTGCCTGAAGAAAACCTCGGCATCGAGGGGGTTAAATGGCTGAAGGCAACTAAGCAGTTGTTTGAATTGCATGAAATATGACAATAATCGAGGACATATTTGATGAAAGTGACCAGTATGTTTCACCTTAAAACACCAGTCAAGCAGATTTCCAACTAATGCAGTGTTAAGAAGTGTAGAGGTAAGAAAGACACCTCTAGTCATTGTTTATGCCCAACCTTGGGAAAATAACAGATAGATATGTTTTCATCTAGTACCTAACAAAATGTCATTTCTCATAAATTTATTGTCCACAGAAACACAATTTGACACATATCGCGATGTTTTCAGCGAACAAGTTATAGACTCTCACCGCAGTGAAAGAACACCTGTGTGACCCTACGTCAAGACCAGTGGATTCGAGCTACGCACTTTCGGTACATTCTCCGTTCACCATACCTTACAACCTGTACCATTCCTAGCAACAGGTGTATCTGCAACAACATCTACAGCGTCCACGTGTCTACAGCATCCATGCAAAGACGGACAATTCTGACACCAGAACATCCAGTGGTGCAAATGAGTTGTAAGGACATCTCCTGACTGATGACATCTTGATGACAGGACAGGTGTTACATAGAGAATCTCACCCAAGTGTCTACTGATATCGATTATATCAACAGGAGTTGATAAAGTTACAAATATCCGAGGCTTGCCGAGGATATTTTCACTTTTATCAACGAGTGTTGATATGATTGATATCAGTAGACACGAGGGTGAGATTCTATTTATCATCAAAAATCATTCTTCATTAGTTTTCAATGAAAAATTTACATCTCTCAACACTGTACTACCATTAGACTTGCTGTGCAGTGATGTCATAGCATTGTGACATCATCAAGTTGATGATGTCATAGCATTGTCAGGGCATTGTACAAAATCTACTGTCAAAACGATATCTCCTAGGAGATATCATATGATCTCACACAAGCGATATCTCCCGTGGAACACAGTTTTGGATGATAAATAGTTATAGTTACATGACGCCATCGCTGGGATTATACATGTTTATTACCTACGAGGACGAAAATACCAGGGTTCATATTTTTCATAGGCAAAAAAGGCATTATACGTTATTATTGCGTTATACATGCGGCGACGGCGGGTAGCCAGCCTCTGTTTAAAAGAAGATTTGGGTTGATTATCCTTAAGTTGACGACTTCGGTAATAAACAGAATATTATATTCATGCCCATGTCATACTATGTTTACGACACTCGTGCCTAAATATCGGTATATCCTCGCTCTCACTCGGAAATACCAACATTTAGGCACTCGTGTGGTAAACATAGTATGACATGGGCATGAATATAATATCCTCTGTGTACTACTGTGTATTCTCATCTGTAAATATAACTGTATATGTTGCTCCTTTATTACCAACTGTCATGTCAGGTTAGACATTCCCGTGTCCATCTTGTTACCTGAGATCGGCTGTAACTTGGCACATGACCTAACACTGACTTGGTCTCAACACTACATAATAGAAAGGGGTGTAACGATGTCATCAAGTTCATTTCAGGGCGAATTCAACAATGCTCACTGTATTTATCCCATTTAAAGTATGCACACATTTCAAGCCAATAGATTTACCTACAAAATGAGACATACAGCACAAAAATCAAAGCCGTACTTTGGGAGCTAGGGTCTTCGGAAGCTAAAAAAATCGTGATTTCTCAATTCCGAGCCAAAATCCTTGCTCAGAATTTTTAGCGGTATCTCACTGATTTTCTTGTTTATTTCACAGTATACACAAACGACATGCACCAAAACATGTTGAACTGTTGGCACCTGTCAGCGCGCTTGTCGCCATTCTTTCGGAGACACTTACACCTCACTGTTATAATGAGTTACGTACATTTCTTCATCGCAAACAGGCCCGTGTTGCACCCGTTGCCATTGACAACCTTGGCCTTAACCTACACAGCACTAAAAAGAGCGAGGGAGCTCATTGGCTATAAATAAGATATGTCCCATCAGATCGCGGAATCCTGTCAGTGTTTGGCAGTTTTTAGCATTACAAGCCCTTGTGTAACATGGCATCATGTTACGCACATCTATTTGCCAGTTTAATCCATACCATCTTATTGTCTTTTTTAATTTCTTCAGAATGTTTCATCTAACTTTCATGCTGTGAAAATAAAAAAAAATATAAAATTCCTCACAAAATGCAACTCTGCTAGTGCTGAATGAATTGTTTAATTACTCTGTACTTGGCTCATAAACACCTGATTAAAACGACACATTATGTTAACAAATCAATAATTTATCCACCTCGCACCTCCTTCCATTCAATGAACATCTTGTATACAAGATTAATAAATTCACAATTCTGCATCAATGATTCTGTACCATTATTGAATCATGAATTATTTGCTTCACCGATTCATCCAGTATCTTGCTGTCAAATACATTTTTATTGGATTTCACTCAAAACATACTTTTTTCTAAAGATAAACTTTTTTTGACAGCATGGGGCATGTTTTCATAATTGCTAATAATGATACACATTATTCAATGAGAAGGACTTGACAGAAGGGGGATGGTGCAAGTACTTCAGCCAAGGAAAGAAATTTGTCGATCTTTATGGGTTTTGTCTCTTCAGATAATGCAGAGGCGGGGAAATAAAGATAATGATATTGTCAGCCTCATCATTTATTCATGGGACCACATCGTCGCTTACAATGTTATACAGAAGATTTAAGAGAGCCTTTTAGTGGAATTATTACAGAGTATTACTTCCTGAGAACTGTCAGAGTTTCAATTAAACTAATAAACTCATCTGTGATATACTGCGTCTATTTCATATCATTAAATCATTTGTCTTGTATTTTGGTACGGTGGCGGCAAGGGTGATCCGGTCAATTTAAACGCTACTATTTGATTAGCAGAGTCGTGTCCCTTAGTCAAGCTGACACCGCCTCTGTGGAGTCGAAACGCGGTTCACCTTCTGGTATGGTTCTAGGTTCGTGATGGTGGGTTTCACCAAACAGTCCTACATCGAAGACCTGCCACACTTTGGTCTCCAGCAACCCATGCTTGTCGTAAGTGGCAACTTACAGGATCAGGTGGCCAGGCGCGCTGACTTGGTTGACCCAGTTGTGTTGATCGATACTCATGATGTAAATCATTGGATTGTGTGGTCCAGACTTGATTATTTACAGACTGTCGCCATGTAGTTGGAATATTGCTGGGTGCAGCTTTAAACAATGAACAATCAATCCACGCTGTCATATTCGTGTTATACTGTTCAAAACAGCATGAAACTATGAACTGTTGGAGATGTCAGAGTCAGTGTAGTTAATCCCTGTTTAAGAGTGAGTGAGATAAAATTGATTGTCGCATCAGCATTATTTCAGCCATGTAGTGACCTGTCATAGAAATAGGGGGATTGAGTGGTCACAATGTCTCTCTTGCCGGTAAACTGGAAATCACAACTCAACAGACAACTTATTTTGACATTATTATCTTATTTTAACTATAACTGCCGACTCTCTCAATGTAACAGCCCTGATCTCAGCCACGGTGTCGCAAGGCAGGTCCAGCCCATCCATAACTGTCCCCCGCCACTCCCTCCCTCCTAGCTTCTGTAAGCATCTACAATGGACCACCGGACAACCGGTAACCTGGTAACAGCCCGGTTACGTCCCCACCCCTCTCATCTCACCCGGCACAGGAACCAAATCGGGGAGAGACTTTTGTTCCCCCCCAGGTCATAAAAATGGTTGGTTGAACAATCCCCTGTACACGTTTTGTCCAGAGGGTGGTGGAGCCACAAGGAGGCTAACGAGGAATGATGAGAGGTGGCGGTCGCGCATGATGGCGACATGAATGAGCTGTATTGCTGGCAACCCGCTGAGTGATATCGCTGATTAAAGTCATCGTTTGATATCATCCCTAGATGAAAACACTACTGATATCCCCATCAGGGTATTTAACTGGGAAATGAATTGCAATTAAGGACACCCCAAGAGTGAGGTTTAAAAGGTCAAGTTGCTGGTACTTGTGAACCCTGGATAATAATTTTGAAATAAATGGGACCGTTTTATCACTTTAAATTTGAAAAAATTGGTCAGCAGTCTTTAACAGATCCATCCAAAATTAGTGTCATTTCAAAGAGAATACTTTTCTGATTCATATGTATGGTTGCCAGTTAAAGTAAACTTGTGTCTTAAACTAAACTAGTGAACAAAAGTTAGATTAAGGCTAAGTCGGAAAGGATCTTCAGATATGTGGCCTTTTGCGTCATGTTTAAACCACCCCCACCCCAAAGAGTCTGGGTACGAACACAGATCCCTGAACCTCAAGCTTGTGAGAAGAATACTAATATTTACTAACTTATTTAAGTTAATGTTCCGAAATATGTCACCTCTGAGAGATAGTCTCTGTTACAGACCCAACATCAGAATTTTACACACATTCACTCTCATCCCAAGACATACACAGAGTCCAAGAAATATCATCCATCTAGTTCCACTGTGTTACACTAAAACGCTGAAGCGGCTCAAAACTTAACTCACTCACTCTTTCTCATCTTTCGGGATCGGGTGGTCAGGCTTGCTGACCTTGCTGACACGTCATTGTATCCCAATTGCTTAGATCGATGCTCATGATGTTGATCACTGGGTTGTCCAGTCTAAACTTCATTATTGACAGTCGCCACATAGATGGAATATTTCTCAGCTCAAGCTGCCAATACTCATACTCTTTTCATATCTCTGAAATTCAGTCCTGAAGTTGCGTTTTTAAAGTATTTTCATTCAGTCTTATCCATAGTTCCATTTCAAGACAACATGCGAGTCTGTGATGTACCCGACCCGTGAACGTCTGGATTACAATATTGATCACCACGGGGGGCATGGTGGGCGAGCTGGCTAAGGTGCCAGGCTAGTGATCCAGCGAGGTTGAGGTGTCGGGATCGAGCCCACCTGTGACCGGGTGTAAAAACCTTGGAGTCAACTTTGTGTGCAGACTCTTTCAGTGTTGTCACAACCCCTAGTGTACAGAACACAACCCTGTGCACTTCAAAGAACCCACGAATCTGTTGGTATATGACCAGATGGTGGCCACATGAATACGTGCAAACACCTTGTTGCGGGTATAGCAACCTTCAGTAAACTTGGACAAAGTACTGTGACTATGTGTCCCAGTCCACCAAGCTGTGAATGGGTACCTCGTACGGATAGGAAAGCCGCAGTAACTCGGTGCGCCTAGTGGCTGCAAGAGTTGTATACTCCCCAGGGAGTTGAGATTGATAATAAGATGTGCCGTTGAGATTGACATCCAGTGATCAAGGGAAAAACTACCAGCACCTTGAGCATGCACTAGTGCGTGGATATGTGCGCTATATAAATATCAAATAATAAAATAATAAAAATAAAATCTTCAGTAACCCATGCTTGTCATAAGAGGCGGCTAACGGGATCGGGTGGTCAGGCTCGCTGACATGGTTGACACATGTCATCAGTTCCCAATTGAGCAGATTGATGCTCAAGCTGTTGATCACTGGATTGTCTGGTCCAGACTCGATTATTTACAGACTGCCACCATATAGCTGGAATATTGCTGAGTGTGGCGTAAAACTAAACCCACTCACTCACTGTGATGTACCCTCAGCAAACTTTTATCTTCATTCTCATCACAAGAACTTTGCTCACAATTCACCAAGCAGTATCATATATAACATTCACAAGTTGTATGAATGCCATGTGAACATCTCAAGAAGATGTATTACTCTAGCTGTCCTCAAATAGCTGATGGTCTTTCTTCCTTGGTCATGTATACTGATGGCAAGAAATAAGGCAACAGATACAAATGTGGACATTTGTTTGATGTGACATCCAGGCTGTGCCCGGAAGATGAGGAGATATAGTTCGGCAGTTCACCAACCCCTGACAGGTCACCAGATTATCTTCTGTACATGAACTATTCACTGTAGTCACAAAAGGGTGTGCTTATCAAAGTATCACATTTAAATTTGTTCCCCCCTAGATGTTGAATCTGAATGTTTTTGATAGTTAGGAGGCAGTTATATATTTCTTCTGCTGTTGTTTTGTAATAATCATCAAAATTCCTGATAAACTATATTTTTGTGAGAGTTGGGGGTGCTTATAAAGATTACTTCAGGTTGGTATATAAATCCCGTAACGGGGTGCGGAATACAGTAGAATAATATTCATACCAGTATAAGAGCAATATACATGTAACACATTTCATCTATTGTTTCAATGCTGTATCTTGTAATGACCTGATACTATCTATTGTTTCAATGCTGTATCTTGTAATGACCTGATACTATCTATTGTTTCAATGCTGTATCTTGTAATGACCTGATACTATCTATTGTTTCAATGCTGTATCTTGTAATGACCTGATACTATCTATTGTTTCAATGCTGTATCTTGTAATGACCTGATACTATCTATTGTTTCAATGCTGTATCTTGTAATGACCTGATACTATCTATTGTTTCAATGCTGTATCTTGTAATGACCTGATACTATCTATTGTTTCAATGCTGTATCTTGTAATGACCTGATACTATCTATTGTCAATACTAGGGCCATTAACTAATAAATCTTGTGGTCCCTGGCAGGAGATTGGGTCCAAGGTCCAAGGATGTACCAATGTGGTTGTATGTCTTCATTATAAGTTACACTCAGCAATATCACTAACTACTCAACTGCAGTAAGTGAGTGAACGTGGTTGAGGTTAGTTTTACTCTGCTCCTACCAATATTCCAGAAATATTATGTCGGGGGACACCAGAAATGGGCTTCACACACTGTACCCATGTGAGGAATCGAACCTGGGTCTTCGGCGTGACGAGCAAACGCTTTAACCACTAAACTACCCCACTGCCCCTATTACAGATCCAATATATATGGTGACTGGCTTGAATTTTCCTGTGATCCTTTATTTTTGTCTCTCAGTTTATATTGTGACTGGCTTTATTAATTAACTCTGGATCATGATTTATAATGTCGGAGTGACCCACCATGGGGGTATGATGACAACCAAGTCACGTGGGTGACCACTTGATTCCCCACCCACCCACTTTCCTCTGTGGGCCCGGCACGGGGATGCATGTTTAAGGTATCCATCCAATAATTCCTACATTGCTAATTACACTTTCGTTTCATCATCATCATCATCATTTAATTATCATCATCATTATCATTATCATCATCATCATCATTTAATTATCATCATCATTAATTATCATCATCATCATTTAATTATCATCATTATCATCATTTAATTATCATCATTATCATCATTTAATTATCATCATCATTATCATCACCATAATCATTAAATTATCATCATCATCATCATTATCATCATCATTTAATTATCATCATCATTTAATTATCATCATCATTATCATCATTTAATTATTATCATCATCATAATCATTTAATTATCATCATCATTATCATCATCATAATCATTTAATTATCATCATCATTATCATCATCATAATCATTTAATTATCAACATCATCATCATCATCATTTAATCATGTTTAATTGCATGTTTCATAAAATAGCTTTGAAAAATCTTTGAAATGGAAAAAATATTGTCCTGGCCTAAAATTGAAAATCAATTACAATTTCAAATCCCTAGTAATGCCCTAATTAGGGTTTTGTTAGAACACAGGCTTGCGTTTAATGGTGGCATCAATCTTGATGTCAAAATAATCTTAATGAGGCATTTCTTCAGCACTTAACCTGTGTGAGATTTGCACAAATTAACCATTCTGTTCAAATCATTCATACCAATTTTTGTCTATCAAATAAAGACCATTCATTCCAATTGCATGCATTGCTCATAATGGAATTAAGCCGGATTGAAATCTAAAACAGTTAAAAACGTCCTTCACTAATCAGTGCAAGTTGGTGCAGCTGTATGAATGATGGTTGATGGATGACGACGGGGAACTGTAGAATGGATCCAAGGTCAGTGTGGGTGAGTTTTAGTTTTATGTCACGGTTAGCATTATTTCAGCAGTATCACGGAGGGTCTAGGTCGGGATTCAGGGTAGGACAGATCCCCTGTACCTCTTGCTTGCCTCTCTATAGCATGTATCTGACGAATAGAGTCCAGATTGGTGAGGGGTGAAATTTGTCCATTATACCAAATATTGCCACTCTTGTGGGATGTTTGGTCATAAAATGTGTGTGTGATGTGTGTGTGCATGCATGCGTTCTTGCATGCATGAGTGCATGTGTTTAAGACATATGACCTAAAACAATTTTCTTTCACGTGAAATTGTTACAGATGCACCTAATTATGTTTTTCTGTTTTCTGGAATTCCACTGAAACCCTGCTTGAATACAAAATGTGTAGAATAGTGAATGTTTGCTTTTGAGTTTTAGCATTAAAATTTTGAGTTTTGGGGACAACCAGTTACACCTTCACGAAACAATCACCAGCAACAATATAAAGGTTAATGTTTTCTGAGGATAAATGGTATTGTCTACACTGAATATTTCGGGAAATTTTAATGACAGGTGCTATAACACTTCTACCCTAAAATCCACTTTTCAGCTTAAAATCTGTCACGGGTATCAACTCAGGACTCCAATGTCGTTTCCCGTCAAGGGAGGTCTCGTCTTAAAG